GGACCCCACCTTGATGTTTCGGGACTCCACTTTGGGTCCCGACCCCAACTTTGGGAAACACTGCTCTAAAGGATGCAGCAACAACTTGTGGAAGAGAAGAATTAGGCATGAGTGTGTTTTAACCACCGTCCTGTGACCCAGTCACAATGCTGTAAACCCAGCTACTATTCATATCCACTACAGAAGGACAAATGCTCTAAACAGTCAACAAAAGGACTAAATATTTATTCACTTTGACAGGAAAACTGCGACTGTGAACAGAACCATCTAATTTATTTTTGGCCATTTATGCTGTTGTCAAGCACACCAACATCTTAAGATGCTTGAGTTTGTTTCTGTCAAGTAATTGCTCTCTTWTATTGATCATCACAAACACACATTRCATTTATCAAATCAATAAACCCATTGTTACAACGTTTTACTCTCCAGGTCAGCTTTCACATATATTTCTGTCTTCAGTGATGGAGAACTTTATTGACTTCATCACTCCGATCATGWTTTGGTACTTTTTGGTCTCACTGCACAAAGCGTGACGCACAGATTCTCTGCTCAGTGTTGAAAATGCACTATTGCCCTTGAAAAGAAGTGGATGTGCTTTGATCTGATGTATGCAGATTTGCCTTATTCCCTTACAGCTGTTGCACTGAATGTAATTGTGAGCACCCAGACGTGTGACACTCTGGTTGTCTTTCAGAAACAGTCCATGGCTGTGGAAGAAGAGCACTGTCACTCTGTTTGACATGAGCTGTAAACAGACAAATCTGCACATGTCCCAACACCGAGGCTGAAATCAGAAACTTTTTGTCTCTCAARTGGTCGAACAGGTGTCTGTTTTCCTCCAGAKAACCGTGCTTTTTCAAATCGATGACGTGAATATCACTTGTTAGAATTCTTGTTTTTATGCACTGTTTATGTATAYAAATAGACATTATTACACAGTAATTATATTTTTGTAAGGGATCTCATGTTGTTTTTAAGTGTGATCACTTCAGGCAGTCCCTGATAACAGATGGATGTAGGTACTGTAAAATATGCTAACTAGCTGCGTAGTGAAATGACAACACAGAKAAAGGAATACATAAAGAAAACTACCAGGTCAAGTAATATCTGCAGTGAAAGTGAAGACCTTAAAAGCCCTATTAAGTTAATAAGAGCTTACACAGACAYGGGGAGTATAAAGAGACTAAAGAAGTGAGTTGATCAGTACATTATGGGATGTCCCTCTGCAGCCTCTGTTACAAATGACAAAGCGTTGTTTGTTTGTCTCATGCAGMAATCATATTTGTATCAAAACGTCTGGTTCTGCTCTCACGTTGATTGCAAACAAATGGGTAATTGAATAATTTGAATCAATCACGTCAGTTATGARTGACTGAGAATGTTGTGGCTTAATATGCCTGTTATTCAACACAAAAAATGCTTCATTTACTTTACAGAATCAAGAATGAAGTCACTGCAGTAAAATGTGACTATTCAGATATGAAATCATCATTAACTGTTAAAAATAAGCAGACATGTTAGACACATCAGATCACAGCACCATCAAAAGTTAAATTTCTGGAATAATAAACCCCACTTTGTCTTCTTTAAAGCCCTGTGGTAAATTTATCTGGGTGTCCAGATATGTTTTTTGCAGTAAAATAAAAAAATACCAAGACATATCAGTGAATCCTAAATGGTTAGATCATTAAAGTTTTTTTTATTTATTTTTTTTAGGCTGACATGCAGCCTGGTAAGTTGAACCTCACCTCAGCATTGTTTCTGATCATTGTAGTTATAACAATGGTTTGAAACCTAGTTTGTAGTTGTGATATACAGTTGTAATAATCAGTATTTCTATTGTATTTCAAGCATCAATTATTTTAAAAAGATCCACGATTAGTTGTAACATTAGACTTTATTTGATAAAGATTTATT